ACGGGATGGGATTGAACTTCACTCCTCCTGAAGCTCGAGAGGAATAATTCAACCCCCACCCCCCACGCCGAAAGAACAAATCCTAGTCCGTCCTAGATGAAGGGGGTATTGACGAATAGAGAATTGATATCGATCTTCGATGAATCATATTGACCGAAAAATACATACAGATCTATTGATATTTTAGACCAGGGGTGACAATCCGTGGCCCTCGGGCCACATGTGGCCCGCGAGGTCATTTTTTGTGGCCCGCCACTCTTGCCCCACATACTCGAAGCCGACTGTTTCGGATGAGTGCTTGGAAATTGAATGAGATCGGTGGAATGAATACCTCCGTACAACCGAACAAACGAGGTTTCCCTCTATTCCCGGAGGCTGGGAAAGCATTCTTTCATGGACGATAGGCATATATTCTCATTTGATACGAAAGTAAATTCTTAATGTGGCCCGCGGGCACCTGCGGCGCTCGAACGTGGCCCACCAAAAATTTAACTCCGACACCCCTGTTTTAGACCTTGAGCGCGGATACATTCGAAACGCGTATTGAGAAGGAGAAAAAAAAACGCCGTGACGTATGCCCGCGGAGGATCCTCTGTTTGTTTGCTGAAGAATAAGAAAATGGGGGCAACTACCAAGCATGGCAACAATGCTGCAGGATGATGAGGGTCGGGCGCGAGGGCGTGTGAATGAAAAAGCGAGCATTCTCGCCACGAGCTAAATCACCGTAGGCGCTCTCTAATCTTCTCTCTCGCAAGACACGGCCTTCTTGAACGTCGTCGTAGTCTCTTCCTCTCGTCGCCGTCGTGCTTGCTTGGAGAATAAGCTTGTTGACAAGCCCGTTGTGCTCGAGAAGCGAAGAGCAGCAGCAGCGCCCGTTGTTTGGTTCAGCTACATACACGGCTATAATGGCTTGCTCTCGCTCTATGTGTTCACAGAGGCGAAAAATAATCCGGCCAACCGAGCGGCATCGCGCTCTCGTACGGGATAGAGCGTTCCCGTATGGGAGAGCCGGCCCACTGCGTCCGTCTCCCCGTCTCGCTGCGCCCGTTCGTCTGTCAGCTTGCCAACAATACCGACACCGAGTCGGTTCACCTCAGCTCACAGCGTGGGCCTTCCCCTCGTGGCCGGGGGCGGGCGTCGGGTTCTTTTGTTTCGACGTGACGTCCAGCCGAAAGTGTTCCGTCCCTCGCCCGTGTGTTCCGTCCATCTCCAAACTGGGAACTTGACGCCCGCCCGATACGTTTCGATATCGCCACGTTCCCGCCGGCCGTGAAAACAGTCGACGGCGGCGCGGCGGATGCGTCGATCGAACGCGAAAACTCGAGCCGCGCCTCGATGTAGGACACGGGTGGAGTGTCGCAGCCGCCTTTCATCCAACGGTTCCAGAACCGCGAGAGCTGTCGAGAGGTAGGGAGCCGGATCCCGGAGTTTCGACCCGAGGCTTTCCGAGATCCCGCGGAGTGCTCCTATATGACCTCTCTACGTCACATCGGCCTCAGATCGATTGGCACGACTTCGTTGGTCGAGACAGTCGTCATGGTGTTCTATCGGCAGGAGGATTTCGCGGAGTATCCAAGGATCGAATGATCGACTGGGGCGATCAGATGATCGGTCTTTCCGACTTCCCGGACCAGACCAAATCGCCCGCGGCTCCGAAAAGCTCTCCGACCGATTAGTCACAGGAGCGGCGTCCTGAACACACTCCCGGGTGTATTCCCGGGCTAAGCGAGCCGCTTCTTCCGCAGAACTCTGGACTAATTTTCACCCTCGGAGTCAAAGCCCCGGTTCGGCTTCTCCAGATCGTCACGATCGCGGACAAACCTCTGACGACGAGAAAAATTAGAGAAAGCCAGGTTCGGTTTTTTTTCCTCGTCGTCCGGGGACGCGTGTCGGCGAGTTCCCCTCTCAGCTCACAAGAGCTCGAAATCCCCGGAGCGAAAGGAGATGGGGACGGTGTTGTTTACTCCGCAAGGACGAGGCTTTCGACACGGAGGTCAGGGTGAGATGTACCTTGTGATCCCGACCTGATACTGGGAATTGAATGTTAGCCCGTTGTGACCCCGGTGGGCGTGCGCTGGAGTACGTGATCAGGGATCGGGAACACATGCCAGGAAGAAAATGACATCTGCATAAAAATGCACTTATCACCCAAAAGGATAAACTTCCCAGGGGGGTGGGGGCTGGCGAGACGTCGGCTCGTCGAGGCGGAGGCAATTCGATTTTTTTAATTAAAATTCCCCTCTCCTGAGAAAGAAGAGCAAGTCGGGACGCGTTTTGTAATCTGCCTCACCGGGGCGGTTCCCCACCGCGCGGCTTTAGATGAGAAGTAATTTATGCACGATCACGTCACATCGTACGGCGGTTCCTCGCACGGCAGGGCTGGGCGGAGAAATCACTCAGAGATGAGACGGGCATTTCGGAGCGCTGAGCTTCATTCCATAAATCAGCTCACTCGAGTCCAGCCCGTGTCGTTTCTGTCCTTTAGGAGAGTCTGTCCAAACTCTAAACTATACTCTCGTTCCGACTAACGGACCCGGGTTGCCGACGGGTTTCTCCGGGAGGACGAGCACGCTCTACATAGTAAGACGCTCGGTCTTAAGCGTTCCAGAACCAGCAGAAGAGAAAGAGGAGAGATCGGCAGACCCGCTCGAAGGTCCCGAAGGAAGTGGTTCCTCAGTCGGCACGAGATAATCGGAAGGGTCTAGAGCTTAGAGCTTGGATTTCCGACTTGTCCCAATTTTCCGAAGATTCCAGAGAATGCTCGATTTCGAGTATCCAGGCTCGAGCCGCGTCCGCGAGGCTCCGACCATTTCAATCGGCCGTCGGAGCATTCACACAGAGGGTACAAAATGCTGTCGACGAAAGCCTCTTGACTTCTCCGACGCAGAGCTCGCTTGCAACCATTCTCGTGACATCCTCTATCGTGCCAGAGGCCTCGTGGCTGGCAGCCTACTTTTCCTCTGCTCCTCGTTAACGCCTCGGCCTGCGGGTGATTGCAATGCAAATTGTCTTTCCTGCAGCAGGTAGGCGCCGGGCTCGGGAATTCTACGCACGTCGTAGGAAACGACCGACAACCGACCGTCTGTTCGTTCACTTGCCTGTCTCCCCAGCGTACCCACCCGCGAGCCAGTCAGACAGACAGACAGACAGCTAGAGAGCCATCCAGACCGTCAGCTCTCCCAGTCGGTCGTCCTCTTGCGCCCGCACCTCGTAGATGTAGCCCCCGGTACAGGTGAGTTCCCGTCGTCGTTCCGGCAGTGAATACGCGGGAAAACACTAGGGCTGGCCGCCGCCGCATTCGGGACCCGACATGTGATACATGGAACGCTGGCTCGAGTCACTCCACCGTGAGGCTGCACCCCACGGCCTGGCCATCGCAGCGTTCCGCTGAGAACGGATGGAAGAGACACAAGCCCGCCAAATACGGAGCCGGCCAAATGAATGCTGCTGCCGTCCCCCTCCCACAAGACCGCAGCGTCCGTTGCCTTGCCCACTGGTAGGTTATCGCTTCTCGGCATTGCCCCCGCCCCACCGTTCCTGTTTTGGGTTGCCATCTGTATACTAAGTGCTCCCGCAGTCCCTCGGGAGTGCTCACCCGCAACGCTCTTTCCTTTTTGGCGACTTCTGTTCCGGCCAACTTCTCGATTCGGCGCAGCTGAAGCCGCAAAGGCTGCGGTAGCGGCTCGTGAACGGATGAACGGCCAGTCGGACAAGTTGAACTAATTCTGAGTAAACTCTGTCTGCCCTCCGGCTGCAGACGAATAGGTAAATACTTGTGGAGCCGGCATCGCCCGGGAAGGGGCCTTTCATGTTGCCATGGTCGCTTGCTTGCACCCGAGCTTCTTGGCCTCGCGGCTGCTTCCTTCGGCTGTCCGACCGCTCCCTTATTTCTGGGTTCCCCTCACCAGTCGCAGCAGCGTCTCAGCCAGCCACCGCCATAAACCTAGCTGGCTGTGTGGCCGGTCGGCCGACATTTACGAGTCCCTTGAGTACAAGTACAAAAACTATCCGAAGGACCGAAAGAAACTCTTTTGACCACCGATGCCTTATTCGCGGATGGTGGCAACCCTTATGAATACCGCTGCTTGAATGAGCTGCTGGGAACGGCTGGCGACTCTTTCATTCACTCCGCCGTTCATTTATTCGGCGAACGTTCCAAACTGGCGAATATTCTCGAGGAGAACGGCATCGGAAGTGCCGTCTTGTTCCTTACGAAAGCCGTTTCAATCAGGGGAAAGTTGTTCCGCAAGTCCATTGGACCAATGAACCGACTCAATATTTCGGATGCTTCCGAAGCGGGAAAGGGAAATACGTGGGTTGAAGAGTTGAGAGAGAGAGAGGGAAACGGAGTGTGCATTGGTAATTATCTGCTGTATAGGGAAATCGGGTCTACTGTATGCTCGCGGCCCTCGGTTCGACTCTCGAGCAAGCGGGCGGGCGGCACCAGGAGTAGTAGTAGTGGTAATAGTAGTGAGATAAACTCATTTTGCGCTCGAGCGCACTCCATTCACTACTGACAGCAAGCGGGAGCCAGCAGACGATGGTCGGGTACGGAGAGAGAGGGGAGATAAAAGACTTATCTTACCGAGTGTTCTAACGAATGGCGTCTTTCTCCTCTCCCACCCATGGAAACGGGGGCGAATAAGGCAGAGAAAACAGCCGTCAGTCAAGGGATTACGGCCGCAGCGGGCTTTCAAAACATTCTTTGGTGAAGCCCTTAATTCCGCTTTTTTTTCGGGGTGTGCCTCTTCTTCTATAACAGTGGTTCCCCGGTCGACGATGAATTCCTCTCACTTCGAAACGCTCCGCGACGTAAATTCCATGCTCAAGCTCCAGGATCCCAGTGCACCCTTTCGAGAGACAACGGTGTCCGCGAAAGCTGTGGTCCCGAGAATGTCACGCTCGGATAGGTCATAAACTTTTCGGAGTGTCATCGAGTGGATCGCGAGAATTCGCGGATGGACGGCGCGGCGCTAAAAAACAAATCGATGCAAACCTACCTGGAGATTGAAATCGTGATTGACGGGGTATCCTATAAGGGGGAGGAAGGTGCTCCGACCTGTAGTCACGTCCATATCCAACACAGACACTGTGAGCACCGGCGAGACTTGAGTGTTGTACATCTGTGAGAGCTGCGCGCCGGGGTCCGGGGTTTGGGAATCGACGTTCTTATTGGTCACGAGACAAGCTGTGATCAGGCCTAGGATACAGCAGATGCCACTGCTTATCATGCACGCGTTCACCTGCAAGGCAAGGAGACATACCGATCAGCTGGACCGCCTAGATTTCTATTTTTTCTCTCGATTGCGTTCATTCGATCGGGTCTTATCAAACCGATGGAGAGACGATCAGCTGATCCGGTTCCCGCTACCTGAATGTATAATGGTCCGCGTCGTTCCGATGGAAAATTATAACCATGATAATAATGTATATCGCTGTTGGTGGTTTTTCCCTCGGCAAGATCTTCCGGTGGATCACGGACATCGAAGAGGTTTTGGCGAGGAACGACCCTCCTCAGAGGACGATACGGTAGGAAGGAAGAACAAACTGGAGGCCATGGAAGTTTATCCTACGGACTCTTCCGAACGCTAGCGGTAACCCCTTCTGCAGCAGGTTCCATTAAGCCCACTCGATAAGGAACGAAATGGGGCGGTCTGGGATAGAGCCGGCAGGAGCGGAGGAAAAAGGGCAAGCTAGATGGCTGGCACAGTGTGTGTGATGAGAATGTTCGTCTTCCTCTTCCGTTGGCCGCCACCACCAACAGAATGCCGGTCGGTCGGTGGGTCGGTTGGTTGGTTGGTTCCCTCTAAGCCCGTGATAAATTGACATGTTTGAACATAATCTCGCCAACAAGACGCCGCCAGACGGTCGACGCGTCAGTAATTGCGACCTAATGCTTTGCGTTGTCTATCTAATCTTTTCTTATAGATGAATGTGTTCCGTATCCTTCCGCTGATGCCATCATTCCTCCGCGTTCATTTCGGTCGTTTTTCTCCTTCGCTGCCAGCGCCATTCATCCGAGTCACTGGGCTCCTCAGCAAGTCACTCGTAGACTTTTCCCGTGAGCGGTCATTAGAACGAGTTCTCTTCAAGAGTCCCGAAAATCTACTCTACGCCGAGCTCATTGTGGGAGTCGCTCAGATTCGATCAGCCCTCGACTGCGGAGCGCCATGGAGACTTTTTCGAATTGGAAAAGTCCTCGATGCCGAATCGGATGAAGCTACGAATTTCAAGTTCAATGCTGGATCGGCAAGATGCATATCTCGGTAGAAGAGATACTTTCTGCGCATCTCATATCTCCATCAAGGGAGTCTGTCAAGCCGTGTGCTTCCTTCAGCGTCTCCCGAGAGGATTACGGAGGAGTTTCCGGTGCTCATCTGTTTTTCCCGGCGGGAACACGATCTCGAATGGGCTCCCGTCGGGAGGAAGTGCGTGAGGAGCGCGAGAGCGTTTATTCAGGAACAGGTCCAGCGATTTCCCGACGTGGGGTGTCAGCCTCTCCTATCTGTCGATCGATGATCGGATGAGACAAGCACACGACTAGATTATCATAAGGGCTCTTCACCCATACCCGACCAGGCGCAGTCTCTCGCACCATCTCCGTCAAATCTGTCTCTCCGCTCCTTCTCTCTTATCACTTCATATCGCGCGGCTTCCGAAAGTGCACTCGCTGCCGTAATGACTTTGCGTGACCCAAACTCATTTTTTCCTGCCCCAGTCGTCTCCTCCTTCTTGGAATCCTTCACCTGCAATTGATTTCGTGTCGCTCCCGCTTCGAGAGAATCCTCTGCGCCTGGAGAGGTATCCTGTTTTTGCTGCCTGCCAGCTTCATTCACTCGGATGTTCGGAGTCTGTAGACCGTGGAAGACGACAGGAGAAGATCGCACGGAGGAGGAGGAGCCAGCGGAACGGCGGAGACGGTTGATGTACCGACGCGCGAATAAGTTGAACACGCCGAGGAAAAATGTTCTTTGCCCGTTTTTGCACGGTTGAGCCGACGTTCCCTCACCGTTTCCCTAATTTTTTTCCCACCGTTCCGAGCCCTCGCAACCCTCCAAGCTGAAGGCTTGCACCGAATGGATTCCTACCCCGCGTATCCCCCTCGCTGCGCCCTCCTAAATTCCTACAGCCATCCAGAGAGTAATTAAACCCCGCTGTGTTCCTGTGCAATGTGTTCCGGTTACAGCGAGAATCATTGTTCGCTACGAAAGCTCGCTGTGCTCGAGCTGTTCACCCGCACGGTTTTGATACGGATTCTATGCGTGGTCCCCCAGTTCCCTCGCTCACTCTCCATGAGAATTTCGGAGGCCGCATTGTTTGGCGTTTTTCGTGTACAGTCGAGCTCCGGTCGGCGCCGCGCATGCTCTGTGACGCTTGAGTTCCTGCCCGAATGTTCCTCTCCCAGCGCTCCAGTTGCCTCCGAGCTCATGGAGTACTCTGCGAGAAGGATTTACAAAACGAATTCGTCTTGACAGCCCGGAGTGTGAATGCTTGCTCGGATGGCTGCCTGTCTGGTCGGATAGGTGACAGCGATCGATTTAATACACCTGCGGGCTTCGCAGGTGTACTCCATGCGTCAACGTCAACTTCGTTTTCAAAGGCAACGAGCGGCGGGGGCGTATGTCAGGCAGTCGCGGCGCGTCCCGAGTGCAAATATGACTGTTGAGCCGCTTTCGCATGCGGAAATCTCAGAAGAAGGGATGTTTTTAGGGTTCTCCGCACGACCAAGGTTGTCGGCTGTGGTTCACGTCCACGTGGACAAATCGGTATCTCCAGTGAACCGGCAACCTGTTACCCGAGTGAAGTTCCAAGGTCCAGAGGAATTGAAACAAAAAAGATAATGAGTCGACCCTAATCCACGGATGTTCATCTCATCGTTCAACAGATACGGTCATTGTTCATTAATAAATGGATTCGACCGGGACTCGGGTGAACTTGGAACTTGGATGATCCTGGACATCGATGTTCCACTCAGCGAGGGTTTCAGAGACGTCCGGAGAACCTCAGAAATATTCATGAATAGGTACTCGTGCGGGAACATTTTGGGAATCGTTGGCACCGATGGAAGGAGTTCCATCTCGAGGCGAGGCCGGGCGGCCGGGAATTCTTTCGAAGCAAAACTGTAGCTCCGAAAACTTTCCAACCTCTCCCAGAGTTACTCACTCGTGGGGCGCTGGGAAAAGTCGAGCTCGAGAGGAATGAAAACGACAAGCGAGTCGGTCAAAGAGACGAAGGCGTGAGCCTGCGGTGAACGAAGATCAAAGAGCGTCGACGCGGAACGGGAACCCGAACTCCGTGTGTCTGCGGGAAAAGAGAGGGTCGCTCGTTCGCTTGCTCGCTCGTCGGTTGTCTGTCCCCGCCGCAACTAGGCTCTAGATATCGCCATTGGGAGGAGAAACGAAGCAGCTTCACTGTTCCGTATCAATTACTCTTGGCCTTGCAGCATGTTGTTGTGTTCTTGTCTCGTGCTACTGGTGCCCTTGTTTCTGCTGTTCGTCTTGAGTTGTTCGTACCTGTCAAACTTTCCTTTGAACGGCGAACGAACGGAGTCGCTTGCTCCCAAGTGGTCAAGTGAGCCCCGACAATTATCCGGTCCCTGTCTTCCCCATTTAACATACAGATGAAACTCGAGCCCTTCGAGGAGGTTACCAAGACGCGAAATCTGGGTTTTCCCGAGCCCGCTGGCAGCCGTAGGAATAAAGATGCCACTTTTGATAACCGTAGCTCTGAGCACCCCGCCGAAGACAAACTCGAGGAGACGAGGATCAAGTGGACGAGCAGACCGGCCGTTCCGAGCGGAGCGGAAGGGGTATGAAACAGGAGAAGGAAGGAAACTTCCATAGAAAACAAAAAGCGGCACAAGTCTTAACTCTTCGCCGACTTTGAGCTTTCAGGATGCAAATTCTCATTTAGCTGCGCTGTATGCGGGTCATGTCCGCGCACGAGCCCGAAGAGACGGAGACCCTGCGAGCGCACCGAAGAAAGGACCGAGCGAGGAATTTTCTAGAAGCCAGCTTTAATCATATTTCACTAATCGACTCATTCTCTGTCGGCAGAGTCGCCGAGCCCGTTTTAGGCTCTGGTGTAATCCGCTGCCGTGTGGGAAACGGCCGGACGAGACGTGGTCAATTGCGTAATGGGTTGCTCTACGTCCCAGGAATGACTCAATCAAAAGTCTAATTAGGTTTTCTGAGTTTGTTTGAGGCATCGGAAAGAGGAGGAGTTGTTTACGGAAAGACCGAGCATGGGATTGTTTATCCTCGTCTGGATATTCCTGTCGAGTACCTTCATCTCCGAGTCCATACGCAAATATGGACACTTCGCGTCATATTCATTATTCTCGCGAGGAACTTCGCTCCGTCGCGGAACTTAGGTCGCTTCGTCGATCCATTGGTCGGTCGATTGCTTGCTCGGAGGCGTTCGCCGAGTGAGACGATGTGCGAGTTCGAGCCTCCGCCAAAAGAGACCGAGGGGAGAAAGAACGAGAGAAGAGATACGGAGGGGTGATGTATCCCTCGCTGTGAGTGTCTGTGTGTAAATAATTGATTTGTTTGCTTTCGTTCCTCTCGCGCAAATTACCCTTCCGTTGCCGAGGAAGACCCAGAATTAGCTTTCTCCGAGCCGCTCTTGGTGCCCGCTAGCAGCAAAGCTTGATCTGATCTTTGCAATCACGTTGCTTGCAGAGAACAGAGTAGCGGGACTCTTCTGCGGCAGCAGGAGCCTGCTGCTTTCGTTGTTGATGATTACAGCACTTATGAAACTGCTCGGAACCTAAGCCCATTATTATCAAATTCCAACTTTGAGAGCAGTTGTGAGTTGTGGAGACAACAGCGATGCTACGCGGAGGCAAAGCAAAAAGAATGTTCGCCCGCCGAAAACGTGAGAATTTTACCAAACCGAGACTTGTCCTGGGGGAACAGGTCTCTCGAATGGAGGGGGAATCGTAGAAACCCTCACGACTTGTCACCTAGAAACCTCCGGGAAATCTCCATTTAATTCTCTTAATTGTTCCCGAAGCAACATTTCTGATCGATTGATCGCCGAAGGGATGCTAGATGCGTAGATCACCGCGTGTGGCTCTTCATATGCGGAACGTGCCTCGCCGCAAGAGCGCTCTTCATGAGTAGGGTTCCGCTATAGATTCGTTCACTATGCTGACACATCTGGTGTCAAGATCAGAGTTCAAGTGCCTGCCTGTTAGACGTAATGAGGGGCGCCCCGAGTTCCGGCTCTGGTCGGTCGTTCGCTCCCCTCTGCCATGCCGGTGCGCCCGAGAAGGAAGAGCGTACTGGACGGGCCCACTTGGAAGGGGATCCTAGCGAGCGGGAGCCTTCAACTTGGTGAACCACGGCCGATACGTTCCGTGTCAGAGCACTGGGACCTCATTACCTGGATGTTCGAGGTGAAAATGCGAGAACTCGTCCATCGATGGATGCACAACATGACGCGCCGCGTTGATCGGAAATGAACTCCCCACCGCCAGTCCCGGGCTGGGCAGTTGAAAACAGAGGAATTCCCACGGATACAGGCCTCGAACGGACTGTAATCATCAAGGGGTCCCGACACTTTGAACATCCCAATCAATCACTACTCATTACTCATGTCGTGGATTTTAGATCCCGGACATCCGTTTCGAATGTTCTCCGATAGCCAGCTCTGACGCAGACCGAGACTTCTCGCTCATCCATTCGTAATCCCGTTCATTCTGACGGACGATCATTGTCTCCATCTCAGCTTTGCTAGACCAGACCTGGTGGGATGACGCTGGGAGCTGAGAAATTATCGCCTCGGGTTCCTTGCTCACAAACCTGCGATGGGTCCCGCACTGGCGGCTCGCGGCGTTGCCACCTCAGCCCGGGAATCAATAGAAGAGAAAAGCTCCAAGGAGGAGTAACGACGGGGTATAAAGATCCAGCGAGTGTCCCGCTGAGAATTTCGATTGAAATGGATGACGCGAAATTTGAAACGGACCGTGCTCCTCGGAGACCCCGACCCGACAATAAACAGCAGAAGGAAAACAATGACGGCGATGACTTTAAATTAATTCCCCCGGAGCGAAGTGAAGCGGCAGTTTTAGTAGAGCTTGGAAATTTTATGACTCCATGCGGGGAGGGAGATGGAGGAGAATTCCACAAATCTCTACGATTGGGATGATGGGGGGCGGGGATTTTTCCTCGCCGAGAGAGCCGAATTCGTTCCCTCCATTTTGACCATGCGGAGGTGAACGCCTGAGGTCACAGCCAGAATGGAGCTGGCAGATAACTTACCCATCTAGGAGTAAAGGTGTTCGGATACTGAGTCTTGCCGAAAATGCCGATCGTGGCCAAGCCCACCATGAGGAAATACATCGTGAATGTGATGAGGCCCTTGCTCTTGGAAACCTTTTCCAAGAAGCGGTGCCCGGATGATACTATACACATTTTGTTGATATCGCGTCGCCTGGAGGAACGCTAGATAATCAACAAGTTTGAATGTCCGGCACTGTAAAGAAAAATGAATTTCATCAGAATTGTTCTTAGGAAGAGCGTCACTGACGTGCGGACAAGGAAATCCCCCCCCAGGGTAATCTCTCCCGTTCGACTGTGGTTTCCGGAAAACTTCGGAGAGATATCCGCTCGTCAGAGCTCGCGGATCGGCTTCGAGTTTTGACGGTGCCGCTCAACGGGGAGCTCGAACCCCACTCGAACAGGCTCCCGAGCTTCGCTCCGCCTACGCTCGGATCCGAATATATGCGACGTGCGACTAGATCCCGTTTCCATTGCTGGCCCAACAGAGAAGATAAAAGAGCCGGACCCCCCGTCCGCGTCCAGTATGCTGCGAGATTTGCTCGGAGATGAGCTGTCGCGCCCAGGATCGCAACCGTCGCGAAATCGGCTTTAGTTTTCAGCGGATGAAATCTGACGGATATCCACACGACTGTTTTCCGTCCCCGTCGAAGCATCCTTGTCGACATCGTCTGGAATGGAGTTTTCTGCTCGTGCCGCCAACGTCTCGGGATATTTTTCTCGATACCGATACCGTCTCGTATTACGACGACCCGGCTCCCTCGAGCTGGCAGCTCTCTGATGACGGTCCTGCGCCGCTTCCGCCGTCAGACGCTCGTTGAGTCGTTCGGTATGCAAATACATCCGAATGATCTTCTCTCGTCGTTTATTATCTAGAGACTCCAGCCGTGACTGCAAAGGTTCTGGGCTGCAAAATCGAGGCTGACTGGAGAAGAAGCAGACCCGTCTGTAGAATTGGCAGATGCCGGGACTCGGTACGAGGAACGATATGCCTGTATATTCCTCGTTTCCCGAGCCCGATCTCTCCCTTAATCTCTGCTTTTCACCTTCCATTTCGAGCAGAGATGGCTGAGCCCATGTGCGACGTCTGCCAGTTCCGCATCACATGTCGAATTAGGAAATTTCCCGGAGTTGACGTCATCAGTTGTCATGACGCGACGGACGTCTCCGACGTTCGGTGTGTCGGCCTCATCCCCCGAACCCAGTGTCTAATGAGTCATGGAAGGGTGGACGAATCTTCCTCCGGGAAATGCGAGCAGGATTCGATATTTCACGGTGTTTGACGCAGCAGGGGATGGGACTTTCCATTCGGAACGACCACTGGGGAGTCCGAAGATGACAGAATTCCCTCCGTCCGGAGGGCAAGTACCCACACCGGAAGTTCCCTTATGCAAAACTTCGAAATAAGAGCTGTCTGCGAAGCCGCGAGAATTAAGTCCAGCCCCTCAATCTCACTCGAGAGGAATTCTGCTTGGGGACAGGGCTGGCATTTCAATCTAGTCAGCTTCCAGTCAGCTCCGTGGTAGTGAGGAATTTTTTCCTCCTCCTCCTTCGGAAGCCCAGCGACAATAACGGCAGCGACAGAAGAGGAAATGAGATTTGGACCGATTTACATCTCTATAGCCGGCAGCGCGAAGACAGTTCGCTGCACGACGATGTGCAGGGATGCCGAATTCGTGGGAAGCCGGAGGATGCTTGGGATCGGAGAAGAGCGAGAGCATGGAGGAGCTGAGAGTGAGATCGACGACTCAGATCCGGTACCGATGGGGTCGTCGGGAGAAAACTGAACCCGACTCAATCTAAGCCTCGTCGACGGAGCTGTCATCGTTAAACGAGCCATTCTAAAACTCCGTCAGGATTGTCCAGGCTTGAGGGATACGAGGCTCATCTTAACGGCTGGCTGTCCTGAACGACTTGAATGCCATATTAAGTCTCCTCAGTTCTCCGCACGAATCCGCAGACATCCTTCAACCTCGCTGCCCTCAGGTGCCGTCATGAGTGGAGGCCCGGCCATTCGGCGTGGGGATCGGGTATCGAACCCCAACGGGAGCGGAAGACGGGAAGAGCTGAGCGCCATAATCTCGAAGCCTCAGTGTGTTGTACGTACAATACAATAATTTTGGATCCTCGTCTCCAGAGTCGGCTTGAGTCCGAATGAGAGAAAGAAGTTCAGCGGGGAGTCGGTTTGTTGGCTTGCTCTCCCGCATGAATGGTTTGTTTTCGCTGCTTCTGACAGGCTGTTATTTTCTCCGAGGAGCGCGGTCCCCATCAAACGGCTCAATTTCTTAAGTCGATGGGACGACTAGTTCTCCATGCTTCTCTTCGCTTGGGACGTCTGAGGCGGAGCCGTTCCACGGAGCGAGACCTATGTGCCTCAATGGTCATCGTCCAGAACCAGCAATCGAGAGACATCCGCCGTTCTAATCGGATCAATTTTTCCCTCGGAGTCGAATTATTATTCTGATCGTCGGGAGCAGAGAAAATCACGAATCGAGACCATAATCCCGAGCTACTATTTCTCCTCGTGGAACCTTTGTGGGAACCTCTCTGGTTTCGTTGATGATTCCGTGGGCCATCGGATTGCACAACAACTTGCATCTACGTTGACGGGTTGGAGAAGTTAGCGGAGCTTGAATTAAATCGTGTGTACTGTACAAGCCCCCTCGCCAACACCCGCCCATCCCAGCTCGCTCGCCTGCTGTTCCCTTGCTGACAGACTTCGGTCCGGGGCATTGCGAGGGAGAACCTGATCGATAACTGAGCACATGCATACGTGCTGCTGCTTGCTCCCAAGTACCCTATGTATTTAGCCATCGACTCTGTGCATACACCGCGAGAGGCTGCCAGGGGGAGAGGAGCAAATGCTCTCCGGGTATCGGAAGCAAACAAACGCACGCAATGCTTCGGCACACCTATGCACGGGGATACCGGCGATTCATCTCCAGGCAGGAGACTCCTGCCGAACGGAGGCCAAGCGTCACCCACGGAGGCACGAACGTTCACCCGGCCGGCATTGTTGGACGCGGGGCGATTCGCACCGAACTCCGGCCATTCTGACGGCGATCCAATTCTTCATTCGTACGGTATTTCCATTCGTCAGTGCGATCGAAGCGGCGATCCATCAGCGAATCCATCCATCAGCACGCGCACGAGGAGCTCCTGTTGGCGGCGGTGGCAACGGTATTAGAACGCAGCGGAGCCTTGATTATATCGGGATTATCCTGTCTTGTTGAATAGATGCGTCACGGAAAACCAGCGTCTCCGGAAGTCCGCTGTCGGTCCCAGTGGTGGTTGCCAGCGGGGCTGTCTCGTTCTGCTGCATATCTGAATAGCTGGCAAGACTAGGTTGCTTTCGTTCGCAACCGAGCATCTTTCCTCGCACGCACGCCCGCACGCATGTATGCATGTCTCTCGCCCGCCCCGGCACGCAGATATTCATGAGCAGACAGCTCGGCATAATTTGTAGATGAAGCTAAGCTCAAGTCCGGCGTTTTAGGTAATCTGATATCCACCTGGGTTGATAATGACCCCCACGAGATCCTCCGGAGCTCACAATCGGGTTGAGCCGCTCGAGGCCGATGAGCTCGGGATACGGACGTAGGTACACCCTTTGTTCGGAGAAAAGGTCCTCTGATTCCCTTGATAAGTTCCGAGCCCGACGACGACACGGCGAAATTACGACTTATTGGAGTTGTGACTCTTCCACTCGCCGTTTGCCTATTCATTCACAGATCCCCGACGTGCGTTGATGAAATTCCGTTGCCCCCCATTGCCCCCACTCCTCCGAATAGAGCATTTCGTGTGGAGCTGACAAACTCAGGAACGCTTATGATTCTCTCGCTCTGTCCCGGGGAGTGCTATCGAAGCCCTTCGACGCGAGACTGGAGGTCACGGGAGCAATTTGGAGCCGGTCTCACTTAGTTGGACTTCCCGTTCTCAATCTGCATCGGACCACCTCGTTCTCGGAGGACTCGGATCCCGAATTCGGAAAAGTGCGAGAAAGACTTCGCCGCTGAGCTGAGTGCTGAACGAGAGTCCGGCTTTCCCAGGACGATGATTACTCCGCGAGCGGGAATCTGGTGAGGCAATTTTGTCCGATGTCAAGTTCCAGATTGCGCATTGGTCATTCGCTCCCTGATTGTCCTCGCCGTTCCCCTCCACTTATTCATCGACGGATCCCTCTCCGAGCTCGAATACGCTCCCGTAGCGTAGAATCATCACGACCAGCCCGGATTCGTTCTCTCTTGTGGCGATGCGTCAAGGCACACGTCGCGTCGTCGGCTCCGACCCTGGTGAGAATTCCATTCGATTTTGAGGCGGAATGTCCCGCAACGGGTTCCAACTCTACGCTGAACTCTACGATCAACTCCGGAGGCTAGCCCCGTCCCGGATGGACTCGGTGTGGATTCGATTTTTTATTCCTTCCCGTATTAAATGAGAATTTGAATCCATGTAAGAAAGAGGAGCTCTTCAAACACCGAGCGTCTTCAACAGGTTCCCTAATGACCCTGCGGGCCGGCAGTCAGCCGGGCTGTTCTCCAACTTATTTCCCCTATTCGACCCCATTATAAGATCGTAAAGGCCGCGGAGAACGCTTCTTCGTTCACTCGCACGCTCGCGTTTCTTGTTGCATACATTATCTGTCAATTACTCTGTAATCAGGGTGAGGGTTGGTTTTATCTTCTCTCGCTTCGATAGGCAGCCGCATAGACAAGGGAATGGCGACTCACGCTCCGACCCCTGTAATCATACAACGACTACAAAGCATTTGGTCGGCCGCTCCGTCGAGGAATTTGTTGCGCGCGCTTCGTCAGTCGGATCCCCTTTCGCTCGAAGTTGGGAGGAGGCTTCATGAAATTGCATTTCAGAGCTCTGAGCTCGGAGCGAGCGTCTGAGCGAGAAGCAGAAGGCGTCTCTGGAACGTTCAACAGACAATGAATACGTTCGGCTGAGGACGAAACTCGCTCCAAGTTTCGCGCTCCACTTGTTAGCATTGAGGAAATCTCCTTGGGGCCCGCGCTAACAATTTAGCCCGTGAATACGCACGCGCAACTTATTAAGGGAATTCCCTCGAAACTTCCATGCAGCGTTCTCTCTCGTCTTAGGCCATTGGCCGCATTCGTCTCTCCTCAATG